TTCATCACACGCTGTTTATAAAAATATTTTTCCAGTTGTTCCAGATGTGACCTGTGTTGTGTCAAGTGATGTGCCAGACGGTGAGATGGTTGCTGCAGCAGAACAGATGGAGTCAGAAATGACACGTAGGTTATACAGTTTTGTGTTTAAATCAAAAATATTAATGTTAACTTAGACAGATATTTTAGATTTATGTGAGATATTGACAGTATTTGATGACATTATGTTTACCTTTTATTTTTCTGACTTGCTTACAGAAGAAAATCTGTCTTCCTGCTAAATGGATTCCAGCGCTGCCTGTGGAAGATCAGCAGTGGATTTCAAAAATGCTCTTCAAATGGTCCAGGAATGGACAACCAGAACTCAACCTCCTGAAGCTGGATAAACTGTGGTGGCACCCTCCTGACCCACCACTTGTTCCCCACGGCCTGCCAGCAACAGAGAGGCACTTTGGCCACTCCCTGTTTCTTTGGATGCCCAGAAAACTTTGGCGGGTGAGACTGGTTTGCCCACATCCTGACTGTGGCAAAGAAGAGCTGACCTCTGCAGGACTGCATCAAAGAGTTCGACAAGTTGTCAGCATGACCGCATCCTATTTTCTTGCTGCAGAATACCTGGCATGCAAGAGCTGCAAACGTAAAGTCATCAGCTGGAGCAAAGACATTGTTTCTCAGCTAGATGTAGGACATCAGATCCCGTTTTCCTGTCTTCTCACATCCAAACTTGGATGTGACATGGGAGTGGTCCGCCAGATGAGACACAGGGGTCTTGGAAACAGCAGCAGCCAACTTCAGAAACAGCTGGAGGAGCAGCATGCAGAGACATGGCTTCAGAAGTCCATTCATTTCATGTCTCACCAGAGGCTTTGCCAGAGCTGCATCCACAGGTTTGGTTGACCCTCTGAATCTTGGAGAACTACCAACAATGTTGACTGTTCCGAAACACCGCTGGCTGATGCAAGTCTACGCGTAGAATGTGCTGAGCAGGTTAGAGGAAATCAAGGCTTCCATCACGTCAACCTTTTGGCGTGTCCTGAAAATAGACTCCACCAAAAAAATTGTCAGGAAACTGGCAGGACACAGCCGTGGAACGGCAGCATGGGCCACAAACATGGGGAATGAGCACGGCCAGATCATCATGTCTGTACTCACAGTGAGTGAAGGTCATGGGTTAGGCAAGACGGTTGAGGGAGTCATTAAGCGCTACCATGATGCAGGAGTGTCGCCTCCTGAAGTGCTGTATGTGGACCAGGACTGCTGTGGGTCTTCTCATCACCACAAAATGATCAGGGCGTGGCAAAACACCAACATTTGCTTGGACATTTGGCAGTTTATGAGGAGGATTGCGGTGGGCTGCACCACCGACTCTCATCCACTTTATGCCGGCTTCACGAACAAACTGAGCCACTGCATTTTCATGTGGGATGACCGTGACCTGCAAGCTCTAAAGGAAGCCAAGCGAGCTGAACTGGAGGCCAAGTTGTTGCACCCCACAGATGCTGATCTGCTGCGAAACATCAGCAGAGCTGAGATGGCTCGTCACTGCAAAAGGACAACCAGAAGCAGCTCAGAGATGGAGACCTTGATTTCGGAACTGATTGAGGCCTACAGCGGGCACAAGGGATGCAACTCATTGGGTGTTCTGCTCATCAACTTGGAAAGAATGGCAGAGATATGGAAGGCTCAGAAGAAGCACCTCAGCTGTCTCCAGGACCCACCAGGAGTACTCCTGTACATGGAGACTGGCACCATAAAGAAGGGGGGGCACGTTCTGAAAACCTATCGATGTGCAAGAGGCTCCACTTCCCTCGAGTCCTTCCACCTGCACATGAACAGGTTTATTCCTGGTAAAGGAAAAGCACTTTGTCCTCACACACTTATCCATGGGTTTTTCTTCATGTTCACAACCCATTTAAACATCTTTAACACTGGCAAGTGACACCTTTTTTCAGGCGTATCTATTGGATGGCCTGACCAGGTGGAACAAAGACCGGAGCATGTCAGCAGAAGGGAGATCAGAGTCTCACTCCTACAGCGGCATGCTGCAAACCAGCTGTCACAAGAAGTTCCCGGGAAGAGCTGTGTGAGTTACACAGGGCCACAGGCGTACTCAGGTGTGTTACCAGAGCTGATGCACGAGTCAGAGGAGACAGAGTTCAGCTTTGACCAAGCTCTGATTAGATTAATAGTTCATGCTAGCTAATTAAAAGTCAACAATGTGTTTGTTTTTTCCTGAAATTGTGTCGTGATAGAGAGTTAAAGTTAAAACAAACATTAAAGTTGATTTTTGATTGCTTTCAGGGGAACTCATTGGGGTTGAGTATCTCTACGACCAAACAGGAGATGTTCTTGAGGACCACAGAGTGGCAATTGCAGCATTGGAGACAGAGGATGTAGCTGTGGCAGAAGATGAGGGCTTTGAAGAGTCTGAGGATTTTGTGGATCTCACAGTTCCCATCTTGGAAACCACACTCCAGACTCCTCAACCTGCCTGTTCAGATGACATCTTGACATCACCTGCATCCGAACCCTTCCTAGAGATGCCATCTATGGAAGTTAAACATGCTCCTGTGGATGCACTGGAAGAAAGTGAGTGATGTTCATGTCCAAATATCACACAAATGGGCATGTTTTTTTTATTATGTAAAGTGACATGACATAAGTGACTTTAAAACCGGGTTACTGATTACTTATCGATAAATTCGGTCAGCATACTTCCATCTACGTTCCATAAACCGTCTCCGCCCCTCCCTGACTCCTCACACTGCCGCCGTTCTCGTCCACAGCCTCATCACCTCCCGTATCGACTATTGCAATTCACTTCTTTATGGTCTCCCCAACAAACTCCTTCATAAACTGCAACTGGTCCAGAATTCAGCAGCCCGTATTATCACCAGAACCCCTTCTTTTCACCACATCACCCCAGTTCTCCAACAGCTTCACTGGCTCCCAGTTAAATTCAGGTCCATCTTCAAAATTCTCCTCCATACCTTCAAAGTAATCCACAACCTCTCTCCTCCATATATCTCAGACCTTATAAGTATTCACACCCCATCCCGTTCTCTCAGATCGTCTTCTTCCATCCATCTTGCGGTTCCTTCTGCCCGTCTCGCTACCATGGGGAGCAGAGCTTTCAGCCACTCTGCTCCTCGTCTCTGGAACTCACTTCCCCCAGACATCAGGAACATCGACAGTTTTACCCTTTTCAAAACAAAACTCAAAACACACATGTTTAAATCTGCCTACAACCTCTGATTTTATTGAACTGTTTCTCTCTTTGGTTTTTTTTCTTGTTTGGGTTTTATTATTGTTTTATTGTATTTTATTAAGTGTTTTCTGTCAAGTGACCTTGGGTGTTCTGAAAGGTGCTTTTGAATAAAATGTATTATTATTACTTTTGTTCTATAAACCTGTGTCTGAAAGTGTGTCTTTGTGTGTATGTGTGTGTGTGTTTAATAAAAGGTTTTGATATTTATGTTTAGCTGCATCTCCATCAAGGCTACCTGATTTCCACTCTGATGACACTACTCCAGGGACATCAAGGAGACAGGTTAGTTAGATATGATTTGGCTACTTTTGCCCAATTTTTTTTTCTTATAATAAGTACGTGACAAACTTATCATTTAGGACTCCGTTGGCCCCGACAATATGGAACTAGGATTGGGACAATATTCAGCGTAACTTGTACCAAGTTTTGTAACTTCGAACATGTTTCATCACATGTAACTTTGGATTCGTAACTTGTAATTCTCAATTCGTACTTGTATTCTTGTTTTGTAACAGGAACATTGTATTTTGTACATGTATTTTTTATTTTGTAAAAGCAAACATTCATTCAGAAACATGAAACTTTTGTTTTGTAACTAGCAGACTTCCAAACTGAAAAAAATCAAGGTACAAGTTTGAAATCAAAGCTCTCAAAACACACATTTCATTCTACGGGTACAAACCAAAATCCTACAGTGTTACGAATCTTTTTGTCTCGATTCTAGCGTCAGTAGGAGGAACTTGGGTGGAACCAATGAGAGCACGAGTCTTGGCTACCAATCACGTTTCTCAAATTCCTGTCCAATTATTGGGAGAGGAGGGCAGGGTTTTGTCAGAGCTGTAGAAAGAGAGTTACAACACTCCAATAAGACTCCTATGGAATGGGGAAGTCACGTGGTTCATGTAGTTACGAATAGTTCCAAACAGCCCCGCTGCTGCATTGACTGCAGTTCATTTTCGGTGTTTCGGAAGGATTTTCTCCAGTAAGCTGATGAAATTTCATCATTTTGTTGCATTGTGAAGCGTTAGCTAACCGCTTCGTTGTCTCCTCACAGAACAAAGCTATCCCAGCATGCTTTGCGCGCCGGCTGTGGATTTTCAACTGGCAGAGAAAATGGGGAGAGCTACGAAGTTTTAAACGTAAGTTTGTTAAAAACTAGCCGTAGAAATCTAAAAAGCTTAAAGCGGTTCAGTTTATAGACATTTTTTGTTTGTATATTTGTTCTTTAAATTACATTTTAGGCAGAAATCAGCCAGAACGAGTTTGTATCGCGGGTCCCAGTTATTCCCATGTGTGTGTGTGTGTGTGTGTGTGTGTGTGTAGCAAATTAAACTTGTCATTTGTTTAAGGACAACGGAGCAAAGAAGCGTTTTTATTCAGCTTAGAGGTGAAGAGTGAAGCTGTTTACACACACAACTACAGAAGTTCTTCTGTGAAAAGTAGTTTTACATTCAGGGATTTACACAGCTGACACGTTATAATGAAGTAAAAAGTTTGTGTGAAGAATATAATTTTTATCTTCTCATGTGGATAAATGTAAAAATGTGTTTTTGCCTTTTTGTCACCTGTGGTCTCTGATTTTCTCTGTAGGACTGCAGGTGTCCAGGGTCAGGAGAGACTTTACCTGGTTGTCATCCTGGGAGAGAGGCCTTCTACTGTCATCGTGTTAATGTTATTTAGCTGTTTGATATTTGAACATGTTTATTAAAACAAATACTAATAACTCATTCTGGTCATTGATTTTATCACCAGTTTTATTATTACAGATGTTTTTGAACATGTTACATGAACAGAAAATGAAAAGATGGTAAGGAGACAAGATTATTTATAATACGTTACACTTATTTACAGATCAAAACCAGTATGGACCAGTTTTGTAAGGTTAAAGCAGGATTAACCTGAGTGACTCTTCCTGGATCATTTATTTAAACTGAGTGAGCAGGAAGTCTTTAACAGTGCAGCTGGATCTGCTGCAGGAGGATCCAGACGTGGATGGAGGGCTGGAGCAGACCCGTGGCTGGACGTTTCTGGTCAGAGGAACATCATACAGGACGGTCTGCAGAGAGAGCTTTGGGACGCTTCCTCTCACGGTCCACTCCATCGTCCATCTACAGGGCCTGCTGGGCTGGCTCAGACGACGGCTGTTACATCTCTGTGAATGACTTGCCTGTTAATTCAATTCAATTCAATTCAAGTTTATTTATATAGCGCCAAATCACGACAAGAGTCGTCTCAAGGCACTTCACATAATAAAAATTCCAATTCAGGACAGTTCATTAAGCCAATCAGATATAATTTTTCCTATATAAGGAACCCAGCAAATTGCATCAAGTCACTGACTGGTGTCAGTGACTATACAGCAATCCTCATACTAAGCAAGCATAAAGCAACAGTGGAGAGGAAAACTCCCTTTTAACAGGAAGAAACCTCCAGAGAATCCTGGCTCAGTATAAGCAGCCATCCTCCACGACTCACTGGGGATCGAGAAGACGGAGCAGGCAGACACACACACACACACACACACACACACACACACACACACACACACACACACACACACACACACACACACACACACACACACACACACACACACACACACACACGGACAAGTAATGTGTCTACAGTTATATTGTGATGTCTTAGTAAATATTCTGTTTGTGAAAGATAAACTTTATTGTATTTATCCTAGTGGATCTGTAATTAAACGGATAAACTAGTAGTAGCACATCAAAAGTCAATGAAAATAAAAAGTTATTATCAGGAGAGAGAGAATGTTTAAGTGGTTAGCAGCAGTGTGCTAGTCGAAGCCCCCTCCATGTGGCCACCACAGCTCAGCAGAACGTCATTGTCGCATCTTCTGGGGAGAAAAACACTTACAGAGAAAATAAAGTTAATAGCTGAAATTGGACAAAATAGTACAGTTAAAGAGCAGACTGTAGAAGAAAGCAGTAGAGTGTGAGAAGTGGTCAGTGTATCCTCCAGCAGTCTAAGCCTATAGCAGCATAACTGCAGAGATAACTCTGGATAATCTATCCTATTTAGATGTAGGCATGTTGGAGGCAGGGCAAGGGAGAGCCGTCTTTACCGACTGTACACTCCACCTCCCTGTACTCCCTGTACAGTAGTGGTGGTCTGCTGGTACCTCCTCCAGGACAGAGCACCACTGACCTCCTCCACACACATCTTCCTCAGGCTCATCCTCCAGACCCACAACTTCACCAGCACAGAGGCAGATGTGCAGCACAGTGCATGCTGACCTGTAATAGATTAAATAAGAATTTGTTTGTTTTTTATAGAAAAATGTAAAACAAAACATAACCTGCAGTACACTGGTTCCGTTCATTTTAAAGAAAAGCAGCAAGGAAAACTACAGAGAATTTACATTTTTAAGACAGACCTAATCATTATTAGGCTTAAGTTGAATAAACAAAAGCACATTGAAAACAGTTCATTTTATTTAAAAGCCTGTTTTTTAAAATGTTTTACCCTCATTTGATGCAAAATAAGTTCTAAGGTCCAGTTTACATTAGAAAACTTCCTACTGCATTCAACATTTATAATGCATTTGGTTTATATTAATTACCTACATGATAATACTCTGTAGTAATGTGTTGTGTATGTTTAACAAGTTCATTCTGTAGCTTAAAACATACATGAAGCCATCTAAAGTTAACATGCAAGTCCTGAAAGCTTCTAGAATAAACAAAATTACTTTAACTGAAAACGGTTGTGAACAAACGCTGCTGATGGACGTGAAGCTGCTGTAGCTCCTTAATATTCCTGCTTGATTTTCGCTAGCTTTAGCATCTTTCCTTTGCGTGTAGCTGCCGCCACGGCTGTGACGGGACCTACGGGTCACTGTAGAGGTGAAGGCTAGACTGTCCGAATTCAGAGCTGCTGACTTCCGGTTTTAGCGGTCTTCAAGGACCCGGCCTTGCTAGACCGGTAAGAATCCGTACTCATAAGCACCCTTCCTGTGGATTCGGACATTCGGAGTGTCGTCTCTACAGCTCTGCCCTCCTCTCCCAATGATTGGACAGGAATACGAGAAACGTGATTGGTAGCTAACCCCCAAATTCCACTACCTCCGCTCCGCTCCGACACGAACGCCAGAGCAAAATCGGTCCCGTTGTAGTCAATCAGAGCAATTCCACTACTGCGGCTGTGCTCCGGCAGTGCAGCGCCGTGCGCCGCCCTCTGTTCCGGCGTCCGGCAAAAATAGAATCGATCCTATTTTCGCCGGACGCCGTAGCACCTCCGCAGTAAATGGACAGAAATCACAACTGTCCAACAGGAAAAGCAGCAAGCACAATTTCCGTTTTTCACAATAAATCGATAAACAAAAGGCGTTTTTTGTTTCATATGCACAGGTTTAACAACTTTTAACAACTATCAATGGCGGCTGAAGTTTAAATGCACAAAAGTAAGCCATAAATACAGTTTCTACTATCAAAGTAGTCACACTTTGTTGATCCAAACACTGCTGATCTCTCAACACAAATGATAGGCAGATTAAACAGCTCATGCCGATGCTTCTCCCACACAACGGGTGTTTGGATCTAACTTCCGCGTTTATTGCTCGGACTGTATCGCAAGATCTCGAAAATCCCGCGCATGCTTGTTTGCCCACCTCAGGTCTCCGCACCGGAGCGGAGCCGTTGTAGAGCGTGTACCAGTAAAAATTGAGTTCGGAAGCGAGCGGCTGCGGAAGGCGGGGGCGGACCGGAGCGGAGCGGAGGTAGTGGAATTTGGGGGTTAGACTCGTGCTCTCATTGGTTCCACCCAAGTTCCTCCCACTGACGCTAGAATAGAGACAAAAAGATCTGTAACACTGTAGGATTTTGGTTCGTACCTGTAGAATGAATTGTGTGTTTTGAGAGTTTTGATTTCAAACTTGTACCTTGATTTTTTTCAATTTGGAAGTCTGCTAGTTACAAAACAAAAGTTTCATGTTTCTGAATGAATGTTTGATTTTACAAAATAAAAAATACATGTACAAAATACAATGTTCCTGTTACAAAACAAGAATACAAGTACGAATTGAGAATTACAAGTTACGAATCCAAAGTTACAAGTTACGAATCCAAAGTTACATGTGATGAAACATGTTTGAAGTTACAAAACTTGGTACAAGTTACGCTGAATATTGTACAAGTTACGCTGAATATTGTCCCAATCCTAGTTCCATAGAACAACACGGAAGGTTTCAGAGCTGTGCAAGATTTGGCTGAAGCACTCATCAGTCTGAGAGAGCACAGCCTGGCTCTTACCCTTGAAGAGTCCAATAACATTGTTCTTTGGAAAAGATTATCAGAGCACGACAAGGATCGCACCGTATTTTCTCCACGCCACCAAACAACCCTGAACAAAGGCCGTCTTAGAGCAACACAAAAAATCGTTGCACCAGGCATGCAGTGGACAAAACGGTATGTTGGTCACAGCTGTTCAGCCACTGATGCATATTCTTCTACAGATCTTGCCTGAGTCCATTTTTCTTGCCTTTGTCCTCCTAGGTGCTATTCTGGAGCACGCATTCCTGGACAGTGGCCAGATTGCAACCGGATTGTTGAGGCCATTTTTGTCCAGCTCTGCAGGGCTTACCCAAACCCAAAGAGAGTGGAAGGTGTGGCATTTTCAAGGTGGACCATCATCATTCCTGCTTACAAGCACATTAGAGAGTGCATCCTGAACAACTTCACAATCATGGAGGAGACTACCATACAGTTGCCAGAAGTCAACAAAACAACCCTCACACAGTGGTGAGTTAAAACTGTGTCATGATGGATAATGATGGTGTTACAGCTACCAGTCTGGCCAGTGAGATCCAGGAGCCAGGATCACCCAGCTCCAGTGATCAGCCTGACACCGCCCCTCCTCCTCCTCTCTTCCAGGCTGCTGAGCACAGCTGAGCCAAATCCTGTTGATTAACAACACCTAGATAAAAAGGCTGTGCCTTCAGCACTCTGGGAGGCAGCAGTGCAGGGGCTCTGCTGTCCTCCAGGTCTCGGCTCGGTTTCAACCCCTTTCGTTTGGATGAGTTTTTACCTTTTTTTGTTCAAACTCGAGTGATCCAGTGGGATCTTTTTGTGTGTTCGTTTTAAAGGTTAACTTGGTTTGGTACAATTTTATTGACTCCGGTTTTAAACACCTTCGATTCGGTAAAACTTTTAAAATAAGTTTTTACCAGGTGTTTTAGTCAGTGGATTGTTTTCAGACTTTTATCAACTTCAGGATTTTTAAGAACACCTTTGTTGCGTTAAAGCTTTTAATATAAGTTTTTACCAGGTGTTTTTAGAATTGATAATTTGTGTAAAGTTAACCTTTTTGAGAGTTTTTGTTCGTTTTGCATTATCTTTATAATGCTAGCCATCTGTTTGCTCGTTTTTAGAACCTTTTATTACAAATAAAACCATTTTAAAATCCACTGTCACATTTCTTATATTACCCCCTCCTTCGCATTTTAACAACACATGTCGGGGGACGTAACATAAATGGGGGCTCGTCCGGGATTTTTTTTTTAAATAACAGCAGACCGTGAAGGAACTTATAATCCCTGGTGGTGGTATTTTAATGGTGTATTTTTTGTTTTTAAGGTTTTAAGCAACAGATGGCTTTATGGATGATTGTCGGGTGCTTCTGGATGCTGGATGGGCTCTTAGAGTCTACGAGCCTGATCCCGCCCAGCATGATGAGAGGAGGATTAAAAGATGTGGATCCAGAGATGACCCCCACAGGCAGGCTCAGAGGCTCTCCATCTTTAGGGAGAGACCTGTTTGTTTTCTTTTTTTAGTGTTTCACTTGGCAGGTTAGTGTTGGTGATTTGTTCCACCATCTCGGGAGCACCCCAGGAAGGGCAGGGGTTAACCCCCCTCTCTTTGCTGGTTTGTATGTGTGTATGCACAAGTGCTTAATCTGCCCGCCTGTGACGTGCATGAAGAATAGGGATATCAGATAGCCTGTTTTGTTTTTATCAGGGGCTCTCTTTTTTTTAATCCTGCAGAGACCTTGTTTCCCTCGTCATCAGTCAGAGAATTTGTCCCCTCGTCACCCTCCAGAGTCTTCGCCCCTTCGCCCTCCAGAGTCTTCGCCCCTTCGCCCTCCAGAGTCTTCGCCCCTTCGCCCTCCAGAGTCTTCGCCTTCAAGAGACTTCGTCCCTTCTCCCTCCAGAGTCTCCGTCCCCTCATCCCCAAGAGTCTTCGTCCCCTCAGAGGGACACAGAGTAATTATTTTTGACGTTTTGTTTTTCAATGTGTTGTCGTGCCTCATTAACACGCGTTTGATATTTTGCTTGTCCCTCGTAAGGGTATCGAAGCACCGCAGCACTGAACTTGTTCGAGATGAGCCAGTTCTGCGCAGATTGATCACCAGTGATCGTTGCGCAGTTCATGGTGGTTAGATTTGGCCTTGTTCGAGTTGGGCTGCGCTTCGCCTGGAAAACAGATGAGAGCAGACGGACGCAGCAGGGGGAGTGGCTGAAAACCGGCATTTACGTCGGACAGATTTCCCTACATGTGTAGCTCATGGCTGATGATGGATGAAGATATCGCGTTGGCGTTCATACTTGTTTAATTATTTATTTTAATCCCGGTACCTGTTAGCATCCGAAACACATCCTCACGTGCTTGTGGATATCATATATTGTATATGGAGACCTGACAGTAATTAGTAACGGTTATCAGTTGTAGGTTTAGTGTGTTCATAGGAAACATGAAAAAATAACACAAATCACATTTCTCTTTATGGCCCATATAGTTATCGTCAGTATCACATGATTTACAGAATACATGTGACCACCTAACATTTTGCATTCTACCACCAGATGTTTGGATTAGAATGTGAACCAATCAGATCTTAGATCAGGAGAGAGCCAGGCATTTTCCATCATGCCCTAGGTTTTGCAACCGCTGGAGAGCAACTGCAGCTGCAGCGCCTTGCTCCAAAATCTGCGGCTGCCTTGATCTCGCAAGGTTATCGTTGCCTACGTATGCATGACATCAGAGCAAGTCTGCTCAAGTTGGACACTGAGGTAAGAAAGTTGTATTTAACCAGCACATTAAACACTTATTGATTACAAAAGGCATTTTATAAAGAATATCTATAAATATATTTATATTTTAAAATACCAGTAACAGTTGGCAATCTATATTGTAAATAAAATTAATCCTGTCAAATTGTTAGCATTTTATTACAAGTAACTAGCTTATTTTTAATTGCTTTGCCATTCAAGATGGGATGAATATATCAAAGCATATAAATAATTTATGTGGAAATCATGAATAAACACTGCATTCTGTGTAGTCCTCCTATAATCATGGTTGTTTTCATAGGGTTTCTGTTTATTGTTGGTTTAGCCCAAATTTTGACTAGATGTAAACCTGATCTGTGTCAAAATTGATTAATATGCAAGAGTACTTTTTATATTAGTATAATTTTTTTATTCTAATACAATTTAGAGTTCAGTGATTGAGGAATCCTCTGAGGAAGAGTTTGAACCTCCTATTGCATCCTCAAGACGTGGTGCAAAAAGGAGATGCCCACCATCATCTCAAAGCCGTGGTGCATCCAGAGGCCGCGGTGCGTCTAGTGGCCGCGGTGCGTCTAGAGGACGCGGTGCATCCAGAGGCCGAAGAAGTGTGAGACACTCAGCTGTGGACCTTGGAGATGAAGATCTCTCTCTCTCTCGAGCGAATAGACTTTGAACGTGTAAGCATAACAAAATTACACTAAATGATCCTAAAATCTGTTGCTGTAGCATCTCTTTCCACTTTTGTAGCAACACATACAGAACCTGAACCCTCAGCAGGCTATTGACGTCCTTACCATGGTGCTGGACAGACACTGGTGTTCTCTTTGATGTACTTGCCCTCTCTGGTCCACCTGCCACAACACCTCCAACACCCAATCAACCTTCATGGTGTGTATGCTCCCACTGCAGAGATATGCCAACTGATTTGGAAAAGAAATGCTGCCAACAGCCTCCCCAGACATGTACCGTAAATCCTCTAATATAGGCCGGTATTCAATTAAAGGCTGGGTCTCCAATTTAGGCCGGTGTCGGAGTCGGCGGAGATGAATAAAGGCCGGTCTCTTATTGTGGCCGGGTGGAATGTGGTAACAAGCAAGTACGGGGGGCGGTTGTGTCATCGTCTCACTTTTGATTTGCCAGTGATAGACCGTGAGGGTAACTTTAACCATGCTGGAGGCTGTGCCAGAGCGTCGGTACTGACACGCGATCGTTCATGTCGGTTCATTTCCTTTAAAGATTTCTGTCTTTTATTTGCGCCTGATGTGTTTCGCTGCATGCTGTGGAGCGGGGCACATCAGCTTGTCCTCCAGTGATGCACCGATCACTGATGCGCCCGCCAAGCTCGGAGCACTCCGCTGTTTTTGCGGTCGGTAGATCTGCCTCCTGAACACGGCCACAGTAACAATCAGGTGTCGCCACATTTAACACGAGATCGTTCATGTCGGTTCATTTCCTTTAAAGATTTCTGTCTTTTATTTGCGCCTGATGTGTTTCGCTGCATGCTGTAGAGCGGGGCACATCAGCTTGTCCTCCAGTGACGCACCGATCACTGATGCGCCCGCCAAGCTCGGAGCACTCCGCTGTTTTTGCGGTCGGTAGATCTGCCTCCTGAACACGGCCACAGTAACAATCAGGTGTCGCCACATTTAACACGCGATTGTTCATGTCGGTTCATTTCCTTTGATGTTTTCTGTCTTTTATTTGCGCCTGATGCGTTTGGCATTGGAGCAGGGCGCATCACCTTGTCATCCAGTGACGCACCGATCACGCGGCCACCAAGTAGCAAGCACTCCGCTGTTTTTGCGGTCGGTAGATCTTTTAGAACTGCAGTTCAAAGGTAACTCATAAGGTGAATATATATGAACCCAGGTAGCAGTTTTTCTTTAGGATTGAGAGGAGATGCAGGAAGATAATAAACAGGCAGGACAGAAAAATAGTCAAATAAAAACAAGTTAGTTTTTGTACCTGGTGGTTGCAACAAACAGACACCACTGAAGGTAATCAGAAGTGAGGAACAGAAAATGAAATAATTATTTTAATGTTTAGAGCAGCAGGAACTCCGAGAGGCTGCAGGCGCACCAGTGAGTTTGCGGCTGCTGCGCAGGGGGAGGGGGGAGAGGGCTGAAGCTGAAACTACCATTGTTAAAATAAATGTGTTTAACTTTGAAAATGTGGGCGCAATTTTATTTGTCAAAAACTCCAGCGAACCATTACTTCATTTTGCTCAAATAGAAATAGAGGCCTGCCTCTAATACTGGCCCTCCTTCCAATAAAGCCCTGGAGCTTGATGGGCTTCGGTCAAATACAGGCCCGGGCCTGTAATAGAGGATTTACGGTATTTCAACTGTACCACACATGGAGGAGTTTATTCTGCAAAATTCCCTGACCCCAATGGTAACTACACTGGTTTTATTCCAAGACGATTGTAAATAAATGTATATATTTGATATTTTACATAAGTTTGTTTTTATATATTTTTGTTTGATGCTCTAATAAAGTGTTCTAAAGCACAACTCTGTGTTGCATTTGTAAAAAATACCATAAATTTTAAAACTCCTGCACAACAACAAAAAATTATGTCTACCTCCAACATTTTACATAAATTTTTAAATTATTAGTCCTTATTTCCCCAAAATATCTTTATTTTCAAAAAAAAAAAAAAAAAAAAAAAAAAGGAAACAAAAATAAAGAAGGTTTTGGCTTTTCTCTTGCCTCCCCCAACACCTATGTCTGTGGCAAAATTTTACCTGTAAATAAAAAAATTAACTCAATTTGCAATGGACTATTGTGTGGAAGATGTAAGGCAGATAATGTTTTATTTTACCATCACCGCAAGTCCGTAGGTGTTGTAGAAGTTCCTCTGTTGATGGTGCAGGGACTCCGGACAGCAAACCGTAACGCCTTGGATCCTCAGGCCTTAGCTTGTAGCGTCGAGGAAGACCTTTCTTGCTTGTCAAACGTCGGTCAGTTGCTTCTGGGATATTACGGTCATGAACTGTATCCTCTGTTAATTTCTCGCAGAGTCTCAAGTTGCAATGTTTTTTGTAATGCTGCTCCAGTCCTGTGAGCAAAAGCTTTTTATTAACTATGCGCTATTGCAGTCTTATAGAATGTTAAACGAAAATAATTACCTTATGTGTATATAAGGTGTGTAGTTCTCATCACCGCTGTCATCAGTACCGCTGTCCATCTCGATGGTTTCGTCCTCCTCTGAAGACGAATCAACTTCTGGTTCTCTGTTTGGTGACCATGTGTCATCTGATGACTCTATCCTGAATATACACAATATAAAGTTTTTAGTATGGAAAATTAGACACATTTTATTAACATCTGAATACTTACAGAGTTTTGAATATTGTTGAACTCTTCCTCGTCAATGTTTGCTTCAATTCCCACACAAGATAACCTAAAGTAATTATTGTTTACTTTTCCTGACAAATGTGACAGCCGTATACAGATACAACCTTGTACTTACATTTGTGAAGATCCTTCTTTTTTAGTTTCACCTTGTTCCATCACCTCCTCCAAATTATCATCCCTATGAAAATAAAATACAAGCACAAGAATATGATTAGAATCAATACATATTTTGTCATTTTGAAGGTAATAGACCTCGTCTATTGGCCGT